ATTATTAATAAAAATAAAAAAAATATTATTAATAAAAATACAAAATATTATTAATAAAAATAATGCCATATCGCATACCATATTATTATATGTTATCATTATTTTTTTATTACTATCGTCATTATAGTTATTATTGCTGTTTATTATTGCTAATTATTTCTGTTATCGTTTGTTATCGTTATTCTCATTAATCATTGATATTATTACTATTCTACTACTATCATTGCCATAGTTATTATCATTAGGTCATTTAAAACCATTCGGGTCGTTTATTTGTGTCATTTGTTTTGTAATATCATAATTTTACTGAAAATCAATATTTTTATTCAGAAAAAAATGTCATAATTAGAACAAATTTTAATCCATTCTACATAAATGCATTTATTCTATTAACCTGAAAATCAAAATACAAGCTTCTGGAACTGATGAACTGCTGGAAGGTGACTTTGATATTTTCGAGGCATTTTTCATTTAAAAAACTGTTTAATGAATGGAGGTGAAAATTTGTAAACAATCTTGAAGAATATGGTGGGTATGGGAGGATTTCAATATTCAACTCGGCAAAATTTTGCACTGTAATGCTGCCTTGCAGAGCGGTGGGATTTCTCCTACTCTAGTTATGTTCGTTAGTTTCTGGCGAATTCCTATTTTTTAACTATACTTTATTATCAATGTAGTAGATTAATCCTCCAGCAGACCACCAAAATATAACCAATGATCGATTATTTCCTATTATGCAGAATCCACTTTTCGTCACAAGTAAAAACCCTTTGAAGGATCGTTTTTATATCATATTAGCAGCGAATAGATTTGCAAATGCTTTTATCTGATGCCCAGTCAATTTTTGCCTCTTTGTCAAGCTTTTTTGTCTTTCCCGGGTATGATTTTAAATCTGCACGACTCCTTCTGGGATCACTTCTCCTTTTTCAATTTCTTCAGAAATTCAGGGATTTTATGCAATATAAAGTCCATAGGTCCATCCGAATATTCATCTAATTCAATAATATTCGATATCTTCGAAATTCATACCTCCGTGTCTGAATTTCACGAATAGCTTTCATTGTTCTTTCTTTAGAAGCATTCACCAAAACTTGTATATTACGAGGCTCTCCATCTCTAGATTTCCCATGAAATGTCAACGGTCGCCAGAATTTTTGCAATGAAAAAAAACTGCAAGTGATAGCGAGTAGAGCGATGAGTGAGTGACACGCCAGCAAAAGTGGTACAACACAAAAAAAAAAGGAAAATAAGCAGCCACAAATCCAGTCGTCACAAAAATGGCCTGAATTATTTTAATATTCATTCTTACTATTATTATTACTTTCGTAATTTATATTATCATTATATTATCGTAATTTATATTATCATTTATTGGGAATAGAATGACTCAGTGGGTAGCTGCTCAATTTGGAGCGCCAGTGCTGAGGTCCTATATCTCGCAGGAGTAAACCAGTCCAAAAATCCGGGTGATGCTGGCTACTCACCTGTATTTCTATCTCCAAGGGACTCCTTGGCATATTTGTCCAGTGCGACAAGCCAGCGGAGCGGAGCCAAAGAACCAGTAATGGTGAGGACTCTTAAGAAAAAGAATATCATTATTAATTACTACTCTTATTAATTATTAATATTATTTTTATCAATATTTACTATCATTGCAACTTAACAACTATTGCTTTCAGAAAACCATTTTCAGCACATGGAATTTCGAATCGAGATAGCAACCTTAATCCCCAAAATCCAGTCATCCCCTTTTAGATTATCTTCTACTCCACTTTATTTTAACCTCGTAGTAAGTTTCTTAGACCACATAACTCTTCAGTTCTCATCTCCCTGATCTGCCTCGTAACCTGCTGTATCCAATTGATATTCCCTAATGGTTCACCCTATTTATTATTACTATTTTACAATACCTTGTCAGAAACATTGCCTTAAACATCTGATTATATTATAACATCTGCCTGTATTATAATCCCTTAATTTTCTTAGCTTGAACTTCTTAAGCTTCCTTAATCCCTTTATGATAAAATCCTCAAAACCAGTTATAATTCCCGAAAATTCTTGCCAGTTCTATCAGTCTATTTACTGATTTTTTTTTTGATTAATCAACATTAATTCATTAAATCGTTTTTTCATGCCATAATAAACTGCGAGAAAATAACTCATAGGTTCTTATCTCCTTTCAAATTATAACGCTTTTCGAAGATTTATGACCATTTAACATTTATCACAATTTTTCGCGAAAAATTTTACTATGCAATCCTTATGAAGAGAGGGACTTTTGAAATTATAAACATTTATGAAATAGCACACATTATCAGACGCGAATTAATTTTAAAAAATTTAATGAAAAGTCAAATTTAAAGTAATTTGACATAATCTTAGTAATTCTGAAAATAAAATGTTTAATAAAATAAAAGTAATGCATAAAGTATTATGGTTATATCAAAAATATTGGCCTTTATATTAATAATAATAATAATAATAATAATAATAATAATAATAATAATAATAATAATAATAATAATAATAATAATAATAATAATAATAATAATAATAATAATAATAATAATAATAATAATAAATAATAACAATAATAATGATAATAATAATAGCAATAAACAATGCTAATAATACGATAATAAATATTATTAATTCTTCTGACAAAAACTTATCACATTTATTAAAGAAATTTAATGTAAAATTATTTTGTTTGAGACTCTCATTAAAAATTTAAGTTTACATTAAAGAGAAAATAGATGGCTCTCACCACTTCTCGATTAAGTTCGCTCGTTTACTACAGGTTAATAGGATTCGAAAATTTTGCCAGGCTTGATAATAAAAATAGAGTTGGATTATCAGCACCAGGCTTTTTCAATGATAAGTTTTCTCGTATTGACGGTATCTTTGTTGAATCTTTGCCCGTCGAAACGCTTTTTTTTGCTTTTTTTATCGTTATATTTTCATACTTATGTATGGCTATGTGAAAATTAGATATCTCTTTAAGGCTTGACTTAAATGTTGATGAAATTCTGCCGAATAACCGAATATAATCCGTATTATTGCCATATCGGCTATCCTACCGCATAGTACCGTTTAAACGAATTTTAAATTAAATTACGTGGATATAAATAGCAATTTATGAAATTTCTTGGTAATTAAAGGAAATTTACCCAGAAAATTAAAATTTAAGTGTTACTTTTGCATGAAAATAGTAATAATAAATATTCGGCCATTCAACAGAGTTTCATCAACAAACCAAACTTTAAAGAGATATTCAATTTTAATAGGGATATACATAAATATAGAAAAGGCATAACAGAGGTTATCATTTTTTACTTGACTATCAAATCCATTGGCTGTTGTTCAATGAATAAATAGCGTGCTTCTTATATGTTAAAATTTTTATCAATTTTAAAAACTTCATATATATAATAAAAATTTTTAATAGGTACATTTTAAAGAATTAGCGCGCATTAAAAGACGGTATTAAGTATTAAGGTATTTTTTCATTTTACTCATTGCTGAAAAATCAGCCATAAAACAAAGAATGAAGAAAATTACAGTGAAATAGCAAATTCTTTTTAATCTAAGAATGAATTTTGCAAAATTCTGAACCTATAAAAGGTACAAAATTAAATGATTAATTACGGGGTAATTTAATAAAAATTTCATCAAAGGTAACCGAAAAAATGCGATGAATAACTCAATTCGCATATACAATATATCAAGCGAAACACATTCTCCTGTCATCGCTATCATTTTTCATTGCTCGCTGAATTTAATTAAATCACAAATCTTTCTTCGCAAAAAATTTGCTCGCAAAAAGGAAAATCCAAAAAAAATTTGGTCTTTACGGAATCATTTTTCAACACACTTTTGAGCATTCGGAATAAAAGGATTTCCCATTCCTCTACATGCAAGTGAACCTTTCATAATTTCAGTGAAATCATCAAAACCGACTCTCCAAATTATTTATATATATTTATATTTAAATAAATATTTAAACTAAATAAAGTGTAAAATTATCCCTTCTTTCCCATTGATATCTGCTTCTTAAGCGACCTTAATCCAGAATGTATCCAGCCATTTTGCAACCACTTAACAGTTTCCTCTACCAAGACATTCACCATGACTTTAGGGAAATCACTGATTATCGAAAACTAGAAAAATATAGAATATCACAGCAAAATTGCAGAACTATCTAATCCTGTCGTATATATCGCTTAGATTGTTTCACCATTAAATCACTGGGTTTTACAAATATAAATACAACATTCCCACCCTCTACTTTATGATATATGCTCCCATCCCAATTTTTAGTTTATGCACCAAACTTGACACAATATTTTTGCTTCGGTAAGATTTTTTCTATTATCTCATCAGCTTTCATCAACAGACTGTTTACTTGATTATACAGAAAAGTTTGATCTGCTTTTATTTCTTTTATATCTTTTCTTTGAATATCTTTATTAAAAAACCAATAAGTATATAAATGGATCCATAATTACCAAAAAAATAATAAAAGAGCCATAAAATTAACAAACGAAACAAAAGATTAATAAAACTGGAACAAAAATAAGAAAATACTTTAGCAAAAATGGGAAAATACTTTTTTCAGCGAAAAAGGTAGTTGCAACTAATCAGTTACCACTAACTTTCTAATAAATTATTTTCACTGCTTTCATAAAAATAAAGGAATAATAGGAAAAAGGAAAAGGAATAATGACGAGATTACAAAATGAATGAATAAAATGAACAGGAAAATATAACAGGAAAATTTCTGATAAAATCAGGAAATGCAAACCATCATAATAAACCAAAAAGAGATTTTAATCGGCCTTGCTCCATATTTGATAACTTTAGAGACTATTAAACCTGTAACATATTCATAATGATATAAAATACTAAAAATAATCAAAATAATTTAGACAAACCATGTAAATGATGAATAGCTTTTGAACTGATATAAAAAACATGAAGTGAAACTGCGAACCAAGTACTTAATAGGCACGCCGATTGGAGGAAGAAGAATGCCGTGGTGAATAATCGTATCGTTCACGTGATCTAGATCGACTTCGTGATGATCGCCGATGTCTTTTACGAGAACGTTCTGAAGGTGAGCGTGATCGATCACGAGCCGATCTATGTTTCCGTGATGATGAATTATATGACTTGTTTTCTATACCATTAAGAGTATCCTGAGAAAAATGAGCATTGTAAGAAATACCCAAAAAAAACAAATATTTCTACTGGAAAATGGAAATAAATCCACTTAACACCTGTAGCGATGAAATTAAAACTTTGCATCGATCATCATTCGCTACACGACTTTGTCTTATAAGTGATATTGCTGTAACGAGTGTTTCAATAGCTGAAGCGTAATCATTAGCAGCAGCATCGCTCACAGCTCGAGTGATTGCCGACGAGGAGACAGTACGATTGCGATTCATGATTTCTTCGAATTCTGCATCTGACAAGCCATCCATTGTGCTGGGAACTGGTGCGGGTCCCCCACCTTCAAATTCATAAGTAAATAGTGCTAAAATCAAAAAAAAATTTGTATTTAAAAATTTATTCCAGTGACAACTCGAAAACATGGACAGAAAAAAGAGAATTTAATTTGACGATCAACGACATACCGAAATTCTGTCGATATACTTGTGGATTTATATGTGCTCCTGGTGGAGGAAATGAGGGAGGTGGATGAGAGGTTGGAGGAGCACCAGCCAAGGGTGGATGTGTAGGACCAGCATTTGATAGAGACTGCATAGCTTGAGGTGGTTGACCAAAACCAGGTGGAGGTCTAGTCATTGGTGGAGCTCCAGCTAGAAAAAGATTTATATAAAACTACAAATTGAAACAAATAAATAAATATCTACAAACATTTAAAATAAACAAAATAAAAACAAAATATAATGGCAATTAAAAAAACCTCCTAACTGGACCTGGGGAATACCAGGTGGCGGTGCACTGAGATTTACTGGTGGTCGTGCTGGAACAGTAAGATTTGCAAGATTTAAGGGTTGTGTAGTCGGTGGAGGACCACGCATCTGAGGAGGTTGCTGTTGCGGTATCATAAGAGGAACTTGCGCAGGAGGTCTCATGTTCGTCATTGGCGGCGGAACCTATATTTATTTCATAATCATTTCACCTTAAAATCAAAACATATGGAATCGAAACTGACAATCTGCAGACTCGAAACCATAAATTTATAATAAACCATAAATTTAAATAAGAACAAACCTGCACTTGCGGTCTAAGAGACATTGGTGGTGGCAACGACATAGGTGCAGGTTGAATTTGAGGCTGAGGTTGCTGCGGTGGTACACCTATCCGAATAGTCCCAACGAAGGGCGCCTTTTGTTCCTCTTTCTTTGCATCCTTTTTTTCTGTCCTCTGCTGGAAAAAAAAATTGATGCATGATAATGAAATATCCATATTTATTTCATCTTCTCAATTAAATGAGAAAATAAACAATTCGAACCAGCACACCTGATCTCTGCTTCGTGTCGCATCTTCAAATTTAGCAAGAGAAGCTTTTGTGTATGGTAGCACCACCACCTGCTGACCATGAAGTGTTTTGTGGGGTAATTTCTCCATAACAATTTTAACAGCATTTTCAGCCGTGAAAACTGCTAGCGCAAAACCTCTACTTTGACCGTTATTCCGGTTTTCATAAAATTTGATATCGATAAGATCCGTTGCACCAACGGAAAGAATTAACGATTGAAGATCAACATCTGTCGTCCACCATGTCATATTACCTTTGATAAAGCTGATTACTGTCGCCTATGAGCGTGAAAGAATGGAAGAAATATGAAAATATTTACCGATATAGCAACAATATCTACGACCTCCCGAATTTGGATTTGACAATCCGAGTGTTGGCAGTTGAGAACTCGATGAGGCTTGGCGAGATACAGCAGGTGATTTCGTAGGACTTGCCACTGTTGTTGTCGTTGGGCCATGTTGTCCAGATGGTTCAATTGCAGCATCATATAGATCGGAATCATTTGCCTCAGATTTGACAATGACTACATCACCGTTACCACCATTTTGTGCCCCATTATTGTTATCATTTCTGTTAATAATTAATCAAAATACCAAAAGAAAAAATAAATAATCAACTTGTGCCAATATTTTTCATATTTCATCTCAATACATCGAAAAGATCTGTAAAAACAATTCTTTTCAAAACATATTTCAGTCGAAATCATAAGCCTTAAATAAAATTTTTCTACAAAACATAACCAACCATCAATTAGCATATACCCATACATCTGAGAAATATAATTTACAATATTCTACTCTTATAAATAATAGATTTTTTCGATACAAAATATAAATGCGATAAAAAATGTATAATAATGCCTAATAATCAAGCGTTGATCAAAAATTTCGGTAATGTATATAAAAAACGTTGCATTTATAGATAAATAAGTATAACTATTATGAATTATAAACAAATAACACTGTATAATACTTATTAATTTCTAACAAATAAGTATTTTTAGTGTGTAAAATGCAACAAAGCAAGTCCAACTTACCTCTTTTATACTTACAAAAATAAGGAATTTTATAAGCAACAAAATGAAGTAAATTTTGAAATCTAAAATAAGCGCGAAACAAGTCATGCAGAACCAAAAATTTTACAACAAATACTAAAGCATTATATGCTTGTAATCAAGACTAAGGAACAATTAATTATAAATTAAGAAATCTCCATACATCTCCATTTGCTGTGACGTAAAGTTTAGAAAAGAAATAATGTGGAAAACATCAAAGGGAAAGTGACTCATTTGAGACTAAGAAACCAAATATTTACAAACGGTTCTAAGATAGACTCCTTCAACAAATCAAAACTAACTTTAGAACATCAGTTTCATCGTCATCGCCAAGTACGTCACGTTCGCTGTATCGAGGGTCAATCTCTGTGTCACCATAGACATCCAAATCATTATCAGGTTGATCCAGTATATCAGTCATTGTTTTCAAAATTCAGTTGCCAATATCTTCCAACTACAATTGCAATGTAACAAGGCATTAATAAATATATACAAAAATTGAACATACGAAAAAAGAAAAATCTTGGAAATTGGAAAGTCTCGGAACGAATAATTAAGAATTTAATGTAATAATAATAATTAAGAATTTAAAGTAAAGTTAAACGCCAAAGAAAACGAATATGATAATTATATGCAAATAAATAAGAAGTGCTTTTCCAAACAATTTTTTTTAAAGATTAATTCACCTAAATGCACAAAAAAAGTTTGACACTTAAATGCAATATAAATCATCGAAGAAAATAAGGTAAAAAATCACGTTCATCAAGAACAATTTAACACTTCTTACAATTTTTTAGGAAAAGAATTTTTCAAAAATCAAAATAAAAACTTAAAAAATATGAAATTCACGGAACAAAAAAATTCGTTTGAGTGATTTAAAATAGCACACGACGAAATATAGTATACAGAAATAAATAAAACTTAAGGTGTTTTTCTCCTTTTACAAACGCCTTCTTCAAAATCTAGACGACCTAATTTTCTAATCATCTCATTATTGGTTAAAGCATATTTTACTATCCACAAATAATGATTTACTGAAGAACTGAAGAATTAAATTACTGTTAAGATTCATAACCCAAAAAATCTCTCCAACATCCCTTATCTTTAAAAGTCCAATAAAAATAGAACAGTCGTAAAAAATTGCGCAACTCTTCAACTTTAAGGATTACCCATTAAATTAGCAATTAAATCAATCGCAATTCTAAAGTAAGTACGAATGAACAAATGGAATTCTTTTAAGCAAAATGAATCGATCCAATCCATAAAAATATATTAATTAAAATTTGAGAGGCGATAATACATAATAAAAAATAATAAAAAAAATGGAAATATTAAGCAAATGACAAAGGAAAATTTTCAAAATTAATAGTAGCCTATTACCGTCAATAATAATAATTAATTATAAGAAAAGCAATAAATATTGGAAGACATATGACGAAAAATTATGAGCTTCATTAAAATTTATAAAATCTGTTTCGAAAATTTAATTTTGTTTATAATTTAACATATGAATTCAAAAAGTGAATTAATGAATCAAAGAACGATTTATTTTACTCGTAATCGGCGAAAATAAAAAACAAAAATGAAGATATAATTAAATAAGAAGCAATTAATTAACAAGATGTAATTCTTAGAAATTTTATCTGAATAAGCAACAATGTGTTTTATAATTTTCCTTTTTTTTAAGACGCATATAGAGAGAAAAAATTAAATAAACAAAAAGAATTAGAGAATAAACAACAGGCAAAACGATAATATAAGTGAATAACAAGAATAAATAAGGAAGAAGAAAACTTATGACAACGAGTATTTAAACACATGTCAAGCAAAACAATAAAGATCGCCGGAACTCCTCCCCCCCCCCCCCCCCCCCCCCCCCCCCCCCTTCCCCGCACTCCACTGATTCACCCCCTCCCCACCACTCTCCGCTCTCCATCCTTCCCTCCACTTTCCGCCGCATATCAAGCAATCTCATGTAAACAAAATCCATTCCAATCTAACTTGCACATTTCTAACTTGCACATCTTTAATTAAAGTTGAAATTTAAAATTATAATTTAAATATTTAATAGCTGAATATTAAATTTGAAAATTTGGTCTTAAAAGGATTTTATATTTACTGTTTTCAGGACTTTGGTTACTTCGATTGGTAGAAGAAATGTTTTAATCAGCTGGTTGTTATCGATTTTTTATTTTTATTTTGGTATTTTGTTTTTAGAAAGTTGTTTGACAAAATATAAAATAATAGTTTAAAGGATTAATTTTGAAGAGCTAAACGAAATTTAATGAGCGTTAAAATCGCTTATTAAATTTCGTTCGATAAATTGTTTTCGTAATGAAATGATTTGAATTAATTAATGTAATAATTTCGAAAAGAAAATCAAAGAAAGAAAAATTTTATAAGAAAAGAAGGAAAAAATTGTACGGATTTTAATTAAATTTTTTGATGGTTAAATTATTAATTAAATTGAAATTGAATTTATAGTTCGTTGATTTATGATTAGAATTTTATAAAATTGTTTCATTTCATAAAAAAGATTAAAATTTATGCGTGGAATTTGCATATTTAAAAAAATTTGTCGTTAAAGTTAGAAATTTTATATGAATTTATATAATTATTTATATAATATACATATATATTTAAAATATATATATATTTTTAGTATTTTTAGAAAATGTATTATTAACTTTAATTGAAATTTATGCAAACGTTAATTAATATATTCCAACAAAAATATTTTGAAAAATATTTATCCATGAAATTAATGAGGAAAAGAGAAAATGAAGAAATGCTCATTTATTTTTATATTACAATGGTTTATGTGCCGAAGGAGCAAACCTGTCCAAAACTCCGGTGATGTTGGCGACTCGTCTACCTTCTATCACCTTTTTTTATGTTGAATATTTTTCTAGTGCAAGCCAACGGGACAAGTTTATTTATTTTACAGTACAAAAATCTATTTACTTTCGTCTTGCGCTGCGGCAACACTTGGCAACTCATTTAGTACATTCAATGTTGAAAATGTCTTGTCGAGATCAATTTCGCTCGAATCTCACCAGCTTATCAGTCGACGCTGACTTCAGCTTTTATGAAATAAACAGATATATGTTCATATATGTTCAGATTATTCAGACTGGTTTATCATTTCTTTCTTGCTTTAAACAAAGATTTTTTTCTCAAGGAACAAGATTGTACTTGTTGGCTTAAGAAAAAGGTTCCAAGCCTTTGGTTTTTGTAATTTTTGGATCCTGAATCCAGTCCTCTTCAATATGCAATTTTCTGGGTTAGAAGAGGTCTAAAGAGCAAGAAAATCTCCGAGTAAAACAACAAGACAATAAAAATTGGGAACCACCGGACTAGTTCGTTGGTTTTGACAGGAAATATTGTTCCACACCTTTATTGAGAATTGAAAGATAAATTGCTTTTCCCCAATTACACTGTATGAATTCTTTTGTACCTCCACTGAATACCTCCATTCTGAAAGTGTGTTGCGATAAGTGCAAGTTTATTTATGCAAAACTTTGTGCAGAGCTGGCATTTGGCTTTTTTTGGCCTTAAGCTTATGTAGATTATGGAAATTACTTTGTGCTCTGTTGATATCATTTTCGATTTGCGATTGTTTGGCTTGAATGCGTTTCTTAAGTTTCATCTCAAAGAACTTTTTTATTTTAAGTGGTGTTCTTTGAGATTGCTGACAGGTACCTCAGCCTTACCTCGCATTACTTTCATTTTTCATCTTATAAATATGGTAATTTTACGATGAAGGCGAAATATTTTTGGAATATGGCCCACTTGAGCAGTCTCTTCAATGTTTAGGGTGGTATCGCGCTAATACCAGTTTTATCAAGTCGTGCTGCTATTGTTCGAAGTGTTTGATAATTAGGATGTCTTAACATACGAGCTTTGGCAAGTTTTTCGGGTGTTTTGACGTTTCTTGCGAGACCCAATGTGCTTTTACTATTGTGTGGATTCAGATGGATTCAGACTGTTTACGTACTTTGAATTAATTGGCTTATTTGGATAAAATTTTATATATGTAGTTAAATTATATATACGCTTTTTTGTAGCCATTAGCTAATAGCTAACAATCCTTGAAATGCTGGTGACTTATCCGTATTTCCTTCCAGAGATTCGCTGATCCGAAAAGCCAGCAGAGCAAGGTGCTAGAGAAGCGGTGAGCGCTCTTGGAACAAAAAAGAAATTTTATGTTAAATTTTAGTATAACTCCGTGGTTCTTTATTGGATGTTTTTCTCAAAATAAATAAATTATTTTTATTAATAAAAATCGATTTATTTGTATTTATTATCGCTTGGAAACGAATTGTTTCAAAAGCAATTATTCGAATTATTTTTCCCATTATTTCTTAGAATTATTGTTAAAATAAATTCGATAAATTTTATTTGTATTTATCTTAGTTAAATTTTTTATTTTCGGGAATTTTCTATTTCCCAAATACTGAATATACCGAAATAAATGGTTTAACAAATTTTTAGGAATTTTATCAATTTTTAGGAATCAAATTTTTGCTGGAGAAATTTTCATATTTCCAAATTTTTTTTTGCCAACAAATTTCTTCATTGTTATTTACTATTTTATTTTGTTTGTTTTCTCAGAAAAGTTGTTTTTTTAAATGATTATATTTGTAAAATTTAATTTTTTTTAGATTTTAAGCTGAAGAAAGATGCGAGCGAAGATACCACTCGAAGATATACTCATTGATAATCCACAGGTTAACTGTTTTTAGAAATCAAATTTCACCGGTTTTTAATTTTTAATATTCTTATTTAATTGTGGCATACGATTTGAAATATTTTGTGTCTTAATTTGATTTTAATGGAAACTCTCAAGAAATTATTTCTGGCTAAGTTTATATGGAATTTTTAGCGGCTGTCATTAATTGAACTTTTCGAAGAGGATACATCTAACCTTAGAAACTGGAGTCATCAGCTGAATTTTGCATTAGAGAAATGGTCATCTGCTCAAAAATTACTTTCGAAAACGACGGGTGATTTAGCTAGTGTAATTTCTTCATATGGCAATCAGGTATCTTGGATTTTTTCGAATGAAAATTATTTTATTTTGTTTATTTTTTCAAAAAGGTGGCTTTTTTTAAAATGAAAACAATCCTTGTAGAAATTTCCTCTCGATGAAACTCTATTTGATATACCATCAGTTACAAATCGCGTAGCGCATACACTTAATGAAATCATGAGTTGGATGGACATCCTCAATGAACAGGTATATTTGCTTCCATTTACGTAGAAAAACAAAAAATTATTGAATTTTTAGTGGTTATATTTCAGATAAACTGTTGTATCCGTTATCCTGTGAGAAAACTAACAAGAGAATTGGACTATCTTGTCGAAGAAATTAGACCCAATTATGCTGAAATATCAGTTAGTAATCTATCATATGATTCTTCACTTTGATAGAAATTTTCGTCGCTAAATATTCAGATTCCTGGGAATTTTTAGTGTTTTACTTTTTGAATTTTTCATCTTTTTTATTTTCCAATTTTGTATTTTTTGCATTTCCAGAATTTGCAGGCACATTTAGCAGAATGTGAAGAAAAATTTGCTAAGGCGAATAGAAAAGAAGTTTCTCGTAAATTGGACGAATTAAATAATGATGTTTTTATAAATAAAATGAATTATCACAAGGTTAGGAATTTGCAATAAAATTCCACATCTACCAAAAAAACAGATGACTGAAAACATTTTAAACTATATCTCAGTCTTTACTCCTTTATTCCCACAGACTCCTTATATTTTATTTTTTTGAATTCTTTTTATGGCTAATTCTTTGCACATAAATATTGACCTTTTTTCACCATGGGCTTCTATTTGGTCCTGATGTCGATGTAATTTTCTATAAATGCTTAAATTTATTGTGGCTTTTGCACGTTCATATGGTGAAGAATTTAAGGAGTATTTAGGGGCATAAGATAAGGCATAAATATGACAGAAAATTGAGAGGGTATATCGCGAAATAAAAAGAACATGTAGGCGAATTTGGTGAACCGTACGGTAACCTTACAGTAATAAAACATTTGAACAGAATATTAAAAGTTGCAGAAATGTTAAGGAGTGTAACAGAATTCACTGGTTATTGAGCGAGTAGAATGGGAGTTTAATTTCTATTGAGTCAGTTTTTAATAGCAATTTTCTTGTCTTGTGTTAGGCCATAGTTATCACTCTTCAGCTAAATAAAAAATCTCGTACAAGAACGATAAATTTGAGGAAATTTCTTTGTACACAAATATATATTATCTTACAGATTGCATTGGAATATTTTTCGAGGATGAATGCGTTGCAGGGCACCCGTTATACACAACTTATTGAACCAGTAGTAGCAATGCTTTGCACTTTTAGATCTTACTTTGGCATAGGTAACGACGCACTACGGAAGGAATCATTCACAGAATTTCTAACGATTTGTCAACAACAAATGCAAAGGTAAATTTGCTGTGCCATTTGGAAATAACGGACCTTATAAGTGAAGCCGTAAATTTCGTCATTCGTTATTTATTCCAAGATTTTGCGGCAGAATTGTCAGAGAAATAAAAATAAATTTAAATTTCCTATGTCGAATCAGTTGTAACAAAATAGAAAAAATATTAGTGGTTGCCTCATATATATATATACTCAATATAACTTATTTCAACTTATAGTATCGACGAGGAAATAGAAAGTGAGAAGAAGGAATGTTCCGTAATATTGGCCTCTCTGGATTCGTTATCAAAAAATGATAGTGAAGTTTATTATGGTGAACCAGCTATTCAGAAAAATTCTTTGTCGGAGAATGTTCAAAAACAAGGATATCTACGAATAAAAATGTAAGTTGAAGTTTGTTTATTCATTTTTTATTTGTATAATTTATAACGGAATTTTTTCTGGTCTTAATTTTAATTGTAATTATTAGCAGATGAAAATATACTTTTGCAATATTTAATGTTTTTTTTCAGTAAAAGTGGTTTTTTTTCAAATAATTGGGAAAAATATTTCGTTTTCACTCAAGGATCGAGTTTGATGTGGCAAAAGCATAATGAACTTGCCGCATCTCTTATGGTTCTTTTTTTTTTTAATTAAGATTGTAATTGTTTTTCTTAAGGGCAATAATGATTTTATCGAAGAAGATAGTCTGCCAAGTGAATGTGGTTCATCGTTTACAGTATCTGTAGAGATCGTGTTTATTCCTCTTTATTCCTTTTCCAGCTCTCACCATTACTGGTTAGATTGTCTCCAACGGCTACAAGGGTAAGACGCTTCCAAGCGATGCGATCTGATGATATCCTCGAAAGTAATGGAAGCCATTCCTTTTTCCATCGTCTAAGTCCTTATATCGCCGGTCTTCCTATACGTTCAAAATCTTTTCTCACCGTATCAGTCCAGGTCTTGATTGGCCCATCTCGTTTTTGACGCTCGACGGGCCCGTAAAATATACCTTAAACAAAAGTGGTCAAAGGTAAATAGCTTCTTAATATCCTCTACTCTCATTGGCCACGTCTCAGAACCATAGCAAGACCGAACGAATCACGGTTATATATAGGACTTTTGTTTTAATGGCAATTTCTTGATGGCTCCATAAAGATTTCGTCAACCGGAAGATTACATTTCTAGCTGCCGTGATCCGGGCTGTAATATCGTCTTTTGCCTGGCCATTTGATATTAGAGTTGATCTAAGGTATTTAAAATTGGGCACTTCCTCGACCGGTAATAAATTTAGACGAAGAGATATTTTATCAACTTCTTGTACATAAGACGAAAACACTTTCGTTTTGTATACATTGACTTTGAGTCCTATTTTTGCTGCAGTTTCTGACACATTATTTAACATTACTTGCATTTTTTCGTTATAATTGTCAGCAAACATCATCAGCGTATTCAGAATCTGTGATACGATGCTCTGGACTGATTTGGACACTTCTTGAGTGCCGACAAACGCTGTCCATTACTCAGTCTATTATAATACACAGACCTGTGCCTATGTATGCTCATAAAATGCCTTTATGAGTCGAATGATATTCTCTGGAACACCATTCCATTCATTCCATCATCCTCCAAAGTGCGTTTCTATCAATTAAATCAAATGCAGCCGCAAAGTCGATGAAACACGTGACAGTGGGTTGCAGATATCTGAAGCGATGTTCCAACATTCTCCTTAACGTGAAAATCTGGTCAGCACAACCACACCCCGGTCTGAATCCAGCTTAAATAGGGCTCATCTTGCTGTCTCGTACTTCCATAAGTCTGTTGAGTAAAAGGGAAGCAAAAATTTTTTTCTGAGACATCTAGTAGGCTGATTCCTCGATTGTCACAGTATGTTCTATCATTTTTTTTGAGAATTAGGAGCAGAATTGCTTTACTGCAATCATCTGGTAATATTTCTTTTTCCCACACCAGAGAGTACATTTGTTGAAAGTGTGTTATGAATGATGATGGACAACATTTAAAAAGTTCAGCCCGAAGACCATCTTCTCTCGGAGCCTTATTGGCCTTAAGATTATGGATAACAGATATTATTTCTTCTTCTGTCGAGGGCTCGCAGTTGCAAGCATATGATTCAGCGTATCAGTTATATCAGGGACAACAGGTGGCGCTTCATGGTTAAATTTGCCTCAAAGAATTCTTTCCATCTTATGAGGCGGTCCTTAATACTTTTGACTGGCATGCCATTACTGTCCCTTACCATTTCACTGATCATTCCACGAATTATAGTTGCTTTATGAAGAGGGCGAAATAGTTTCCTATTATCGCCTAATCGAGCTGCCGCCTCCATTCTTGAAGCCATGTTACTCCTCCACTAGTGATTTCTTCCCCGCTATGCTGCTTTCGTTGCAAATCTTTCAAGCATCCGGATCACCTGACATTCGTGCTTTGGCATCTTTTTCAGACAGTTGGACAGTTGCTTCTGATACCCAACTAGCATACCTCCTACTAGTATGACCTATCGTGGAAGTGGCTAATTTTCGGATACATTACTTTAGTTTGGACCACTATTCATTTGTCGTTCCAGAAAAGTTATTGATATCTATACCATTAAGGTATTTCAATAATTCGGCCTGAAATGCGTTACCGAATCTTTTAGCTTAAGAATTGGAAGATCTTAGGGGATGCTTCTTTTAGTTGTCAGTTTTATGTGAATCTTGGTTCGAACCATTTCATTCTCTCCCTACTATGGCTATGTCATGTTTTGGTAGAGACTTTCTTAGCAGTTGAAGTTCCGCATAGAACTTATCTTTATCACGGTCATCTGCCGATAGATTGGAGCATAGACACTGTCGACCGATATATTGCAGAAACTTACCGTTAAAACGGGCATAGGCCATACGGTCGCTTACCGGTTTCCACTCAGTTAAAGCGGAATGGGTCAGACATAACAATCGATACACCATTTTGTCTCGAGTTATCCGAAGCACCACAGTAATTTAACCAGTATTTCTGTTCCGAGCCAGGATTAATAATTACTCGAGACCCGAAATAAGGAAGACGGACCTCCGATATCCACACGATATTTATAAAGGGTGTGGATAGTGATCGCTTGGATTACAACGTCCATAAGCGTTCTAATATTTCATTCTGATACGGCTAAAACCTCGCCACCCGTTCAGAGAGCTGTTCTCCTTGATAGATTTCGAGCGATTATCCTGGCTTGCGAGCACATTTCATTTATCAGCCTTAGGATCGCTTTAAGCCTGGATTGTGCACTTATCGCATGTACCACCGGGCTGGCAGTATCATGCGCGTTGGGAGATGCGGACGCCATATCAAAAATGTGATTCCTTCACCACAGAGTCACTTGAGGATAAAGATACAAGTGGGTCCCCAGCAGCCACCCGAATTTTTGACATAATGGCAGGTTTATTGCTACCAAAAACAAAAAAATTAAATTTAAAGAAAATAATAAAGTAGACAATGAAATTTTAAAAAAATAAAAGAGTGAAAAGACAATTAAATCTTAAAAATCTTAAAAAAATATATATATTTATTTATACAATTTAATTGATGTGATTTATAATTTATTTAATTTAATTGATTTAATTTTTTTATTTTAATTGTTGTTTGGTAAAAAAAAGTCTAAGAAGACTTAACTGAATTGTGATCAGAAATGAAAAAAATAAATTCACGAAAATAAATCGAAAATATTTTGAAAACGACCGCTCAGCAAAAAAATTTTCAAGTGCAAAAAAATCGTGTTTATTACGTCAGTTCGAATTGATTTCCATAATTATCGATGACTTGGATTCAACTGGATCTACCATCGCTCCGTTTTCCTAGTTGCATTTACATATGAAGTTAACGAGCGACAACGCAGTCCCCTCAGACTTGGGCAGTTCAGTGTATATTTAAATCATGAATTTAAGCGAGTGACACTGATTAAATGACGAATAATAGCGTATAAGTAAAGGCAATAAAATAAAAAAAAGAAAAAGGAATAAAAGGCAAAAAAAAGAGATAAGAAGGAAAAGAGAAGAGAGTAGTTTTTACCCTCAAATTAAATATATCATATATTTAATGAGACTGTGAAGCCAGTTTGACCTTAACAGACAAAAATTATTAAGTAAGGATCGCCAGGAACTAGGATAGGTGGAATCAAAAGTGGTTTTTTTGGAAAAACTGCGAAATCAACCTCAAAATGACAATTCTAACTAGTATGCACACTTCCTCCATGTGGCATATTTGGCCAATGAGAGTTAAAATATAAGGAAGATTAATTATATTCAACCATTTTTACACGGCGTCTTATATATTATAACTCATCAAACGGACAGAGTCTTACATAATTACATCTATCTTAGCTGGAGTGCCATATGCATTAATAATATTAATAATATATTTGACAATATTATATTATGTCTTGAAGCGCTACGCTGGTTATGGTTATATTCTCCATCCATCACAGGAATTGCGGCTTATCTCCCTACTTTCTAAACCGTGTTTTGGACAATGCCAAAAGTGATGAGTTAAAATCTGGATTAATACAGATAGGGGAGATTTAGAAGATTTTAGAGACAGGCGGCATAGTGGTGTACACTCGTTGTCTTGTCGCCAGTGCAATAAGCCAAAGTAGTGGTACCATTTTCTAGAAAAAAATAAAGATGTTATTCGTTTAATTTTATACTCAATTTTAGATTGATTTAGTCGCTACACCTGGAACTTCTGCTGAAATTGCTGGTGATGATATCGATCGTCGATTTGTTTTCGTTCTTTTAATTCCTTTTTCATCTGAAAATCGTAATCAAAAATGGTTTCTGCAAGCAAAAAATACAACTGACATGTATGAATGGGTTGATGTAATCAATAATTTATCAGGATTTCAGGTAATCTTAGAATAATTTATTCTGAAATCTCTCATACTTTTTTTTTTAAATCTATGAAGATGGTATAAAATCATGATTAATTCATTCATTTAGAGAAAGAAAAGCAACATTGATGTAATTACTCAAGATCACAATTTGGGTGATTTAGTTGGTGTTGCGGATTTATCTAAAAACATTTCAAGCAGCTCTTCGCACTTAGGTATATTCTTTTGCATAATTTACTCTCAGTTTACTCTCATTTTAATTTTACTGTGGATAGTTGATAAGTTGGTTATGAATAACAGTTATACGAAAAGCGTTTAGGTTTAGGAATCAGTTAGTTTTGCACAATTTGCGCGATATCTCTGCTAATTTGTATCTCTGCTAATTTTAAAAAAAGGTTAAAGGTTTTGATTGCTTATTCTAATAGGTAGAAAATCCGAATGTTTTTGTTCATCAGTTATCGAGTTGGTAGCCAGCATTCGAATTCCTTACATTCAGCAAAACAAATTAATCAGCAAATTACTCGACTCCTACTCCTATCTTGATCCACCTATATTTCTATCACCCAGCAACTCTTTGGCAAAAATTTCCACCATACTAGCAATCACTAGAGTGAGCCTAATCAGGAATTGTTATGTCCAAGGCTTTACACCATTTAATAGTTTAAATCGATCCTGATGTAAATTTTATAGTGCTTGATTTATCTAATATGAATCTGTCACATCAGCCGATTCAGTTTGATCTTTTGCCAGTGGAACAGTCGTTGGAAGGGATTGATTCTAGCATCATTTCAGAAAATAATGTTTCATACGACGTAGGTCTTCATTTAATGTAAAAAAGATAATCATTTTGTTTTTTCAATCAAGCTAATCAAGTTTTTTCAAATTTTTCATTTTTAAATTGTATTAATTTTTTTCTTCCAAAGTGTGAATTCTTCTAAAAAATTTGAGAATTTTTTTGTTAGATCGGAAAGAGATATACATATTAAAGTGGGGATAGGACTGGTCAGTGGGTTGTCGCTAAATTCGGAGCGCCGATACTGAGATTTTTATTCCCCGCAGTAGTAAACTTGTCAAAAAGTCCGGCTGGCTACTCACCTGTATTTCTATTGCCAAGGTACTCCCTGGCATATTTTTCCAATGTAATAAGCCAGTGCAGCGAGTTTAACCAGTGATGGTGAGGATTCCTAAAAAGAAAAAAACATACCAAAGTGAAATTTTCATCCAAATTTTGAAAATTTTTAAAAATCAGTGTTTGGAATTCTGGTTCTTTGATTTTGGTTTATAAATTATCAGGTTCATCTTTTATGAAGTTAGAATTTTCTTAATAACCAATCATTATTATGAAGAATACATTGCAGATTTGCTTTCTTGGCTCCTTGGAAATAGGAATAAACTATTGCAATGAAGCTTATGTGCAGCAGGCTATTCAAAAGGTCTTAGATGCAAGAGAAGCTCATTCTATCCATGAAAGTACTGCATGTAGAATGCTCATCAATAAAAATGCTAGGACAGTAATTCTTGTCGACTATGAACAAAAGTCCAGTCTAAAGTATATTTTAATATAAAATTTTAGCATTTAGCAATTATAAACCAGTGATGGTGAGTGATAGTTATATAAACAAAAGTAAATTCCTTCTTAAGGATAATTTTAAAAATTTTGTGTCAGATTTTTTTGTGAATTTAAAATTATTAATGTTGGTTCAATATTATTTTGTTTAGTTGTTTTTGATTTTCAGAGCCTTGTTTGAATTCGCTGATATTACATTTTGGACTACTTATTCAAACAGTAAAATTTTTGCTATTGTAACGAGGATCAGAACAGGAAAAGGTTATTTATTGACCCAAAATACTTTTGTTATTTTTCCTATTTATTTTAATTTTTGTATTTTTTGTTGTTTGTGCTAATATAATTTTCCTTTATAGTTAAAAACTTAAAATTTTCAAAAAATAGATGCTGTTGATTCTGCAAAATGCTCGATTCTTATAAACGAAGAAGATGGTGGCGGTGATGAAATATGCAAAGCATTGGCCAGTGCTTTAAGAGAATCACTTAGCAGTGTAATGTTTGATTTATTTTACTGCCATATTATTTTAAGCATTCAAGCATTTTAAGTATTAAGTTTTATCGCGCTTTTATATTTTTTTTAAAGGACCATTGCTTGTTAGATTCATTCTACTGGCTTTTCAAACCGTAGATAAGTTTTTCCGGATACCCACCTAGCGATAGCAGTTATAGGTGACTTGCCAGCATCACCCAGATTTATAATTTTTTGCATTTCTTTATTTTAAATTTTAAATTGATCTTATCATTAATTCTTAGTTATTCTTAATTATTAATTAATTATTCTTAATAATGTCGGTTCTTAATGATAATAAAGGTTATTAATCAGTTATTTTTAATAATATTCTGGTTTCCTTGCTTAGAATTTTGCATTTAAAATTTTCTAATATATTTTTAGTTGGTTCTTCAATCTTCTGGTACCAGTGAATCTGATGTTGCATCGCTAAAAAATGGTGGAAATGAAAAAAGCTCATAAGATTTCCTATTTTTCTGAATTCCCTTGAATTATTTCGTCGGTGTTTGATTTAATTTAATTCTTCTTGCAAAACTAAAAGTTTTTGGGAAGTGAAGATATTTTATAACTTCAAAATATTTTATTTTTTGGTGATTACATGTGAGTTTGAATTTAAAAGTGGTTTCAAAACGGAATGCCTCACTGTAAAATGGGTAACAATTCATGAATGCCAGAATGAAAGTGGAAAAGGTTCTGCCTATTTTTTTTGTAAAATATTTAATTTATATATATTTAAGTGCCTTCATTGATTATTCATAGTTTTTATTTTTTTTATTTATGGGGCCAAGCCAGAAATTGATATATACCTTTCTTTATATATTTTTTATTTGCAATAAAATGACAAATTTCTTCCTTAAAATTTTTGATCAAATTATTTTAATTTTATTTAAATACAACATACCAAACATTTTATGCACTCGTAAATCACAATTTGACCACTCCTGTTTAATGAATTTTGCTAATCGACTGTATCAAAGTTAATAATTGCATAACCCTTTCCTTGAATAATAATACCATCAAAGAACAAACTTATACCGGTTAAATCGATTAAACGTTTTTCGTCATTCACGCCAGAAATTGACACTTACCTTTCTAAATTCCAGTCCTTTAATAGATGGCGTCAAAAGTGAGTGAGTTGTAGTCAAGAATGGGAAGCGATTTCGAAATTAACTGCATACAGTCCAGTGATATATATGTCGGCTTAGATGATTGAAAAAGAGGTATCTTCCGCTATCTTCACATATGACATCAAGACTTTGAAATCTCTTTTTATCGGTCAAACCATTAACGATAAAATAAATTCAGCTTTAGAAGGATTCAGTTGTTATCTATTACAGAAGCGCCTTATGTGGTGCTTGAAAGAAATTTTTTGTAATGATTTTGCAGATTATTGGCATCAAAAATTATTTCGAAATCCTTTCGAGCCGTTTTGGAAAGCCTACATGTCACCAATAAAATCTATTCATCACTAGTCTTATTGTTTTCAAACAATCTTTTCCATCTTCAATTGAAATATCTACAACAAAGATAAAAAAATGAAAAATGCTATTTAAAAGAAAGTAATTAGTAAAACAAAAGAAAAAGAGAATATTTCGTGGATCGCGGCGAGAGAATTAGCGTTATTTTATCAGATATGATCCATAATAATACTTCATTCATTAAAAATCTCAATGCTGTGGGGATGCAAAGTATGTTTTTAATAATTTTTAAGGCTTACAATCTCCCTCACGACTTAGTATTTTTCGAAATCTATGATTTTCTCGAATTATATTGCGTTCAGTAATGCAGGCGAATGATGATAATTTGAACGAAAAAATGTTTCGGAAATAAAAAATTTGTGAAATTTAAAACACTTAAAAAACGGCAATAAACTACAAATTTTAAATAAGAAAAATTACACGAGTAATTTACAATAATATGAAAGAAAAGAAAAAAAGTAATGCCGATAATAAAAAAGGCTTATAAACCCTTTTATGAACTACAATCTTATTATGAGAATCGCGAATGGGCTGAGGTTTTTTCCATTTTGCAAAATATCGTCGAGTATCAATATCGTGAACTACTAACTGCATACTTATTGGAAAGAGTGAGTACTTAAAAGATACTGAAAGCAGAAAAAAGCGACAGAAGTTGAATAATGCTTGACATAACAGTGATAAGGAATGCATTCTTATGCTATGATCATATATCAACGAAATTATTATAACCTAAGCATTTAACTTTTTTGTTATCACCATTATTTAGAAACGAAACTAACTGAAAATGCTTCTAACGAAAGCTCTTTATTAGCCTATGAACATAAAATACTCTCAGTTGAAATAACCTAAAAAGTTGAAGTTTTCTCTCAGAAAAAAGGAAGTGTTGAAAAAGGAAAAATCACATTCAGAACCAGTTTTTGGCCCTAAAGAAATAAATAGAAGCAGAGATTTTCTGACACATTAAGTAAAATAACTGGAGTCGTTGATTTTATTAATTATTCGAACTATTCGACAGATTTGATGATGTTCTACGAGAAGAATTTGCCAATGGTGAAGGTGGTTGTGATGTGGCAGCCATCGGTGGCATTCGTTCATTGATCTTGTCTAAACGTTTTGCTTCATCGAAGGACTGTATTCGATGCCCAGGCTCAAGACCGGACAACGCTGAAAAAAATATTTCTAAATATTACGTTTTTTTTCAAATAAAAATGAAATTTTTTCTGACAGGGAATATTTGTGACCCAAAGCATTTAAGATCGCTAAATAAATGAAAAATTCTTATAATCCTTATTAATTGATCTAAGAACGAGAAAAAATCTGAGAATGCTAAAACATTAAACGAACTCATTTATAACTTCGTTATAATAATAATTAATAATAATAAATAATAATTAATAATAATAGTAATAATTAATAAAAATATTAATTGTAATAATAAAGTGCTCCAGTAAACGGATTACAGCATGACGATCACAAGAAACGAATGTCACTCGATGAGAATTCCGAGGAACGAAAAAATGCGAAAAACATCAATTCAGAAAACAATAAATAACATAAAGCATAACATAAAAATATATAAAAAGAAATGCTAATTTACAATATTCAAATCATTTGTAAAAAAACCAAACCCTTTTTATAAATCATAAAATAAAAGGAATAACATAATTCACTTTTCGGATTATATTAAATCGTGGCTTTTTAGAATTATTTTTTGTAAAATTTTCACAAGAGTACATAAAAGCGATTTTACAAAAAGCACAACTCGTCTCGGAAAATTTTTTATATTGAGAAATATTTCAAATAATGAGAAAAGCCAAAAATTATTACACTGATAAGAAATTTGCTAAAAGAAAAGAATTCTATAAAATCGAGCATCAAAATAAATACAACAAAGAAAAAAAAGTGGAAAAGAAGAATGAAAAAACTGAAAACTCACAATGTTCAAGCGCTGATCGCCCACCCGAAAGTATTCCCATTGGTAATTTTCCTCCAGGATTCAATCCTTTTAATTGTAAGACAGTTTCGCTTTCATGCCTATATTATCCACATTAAGCATAAACTTACTTTCTATTGCTGTTCATTTATTTAATCCATCAATTAATTAACAATAAAATATCTCCATTGTTTGAGAAAATTTTTCATTATTTCATAAAAAATAATCCAATTTTGAATGGCTGATAAATAGGGAAACGATAAATCTTCGAAAAAACCATTTCGGTCTATTTAAATGAATTTATATGTTCAGTTCGGTTAGATTACATTAGATTACATTAAAAAATTAAAATATAATTTGCAAAATAACCAACGAACACGAAGAACAAAAAAGAAATGAAAAGATTAAACAGACAAAAAGGCTGGGAGAAGACTATAAATAAGAAATCAGAAACATGCAAACCATTTTCTCGAGGAATCATCGAAAAAAAAATTCGCTGTACATGCATAATTATGCAAAATTAATTATAACATTAATCATGCGAAATTCGAAAAAAATTAGAAAATTTTCTGATCCAGAAATTCATGTTTCTTTGTTGTTGTTCAAACGCTACCAATTTTCGGAAGGAATTCAGGAAATTAAAACTAAACAATACTTTTGTATTGACGTTCAATATAAAAAAAACATAAACAATATTATCAGCTATAAGGGAATCATTATAGCAAATTATTATTATTTATTTATTATTATTATTACTATTATTGTTATTATTATTATAAGAAACTGAATAGAATCCTACTTTATAAAATCTGTCATTATAGCATGCTAGAATAATCCCTACTCGATGAAGGTGGTAGAACATCAAAATTTCTGGAAACATCTGTTCTTCGCTAAATTTCGACATAAATAATTTAACACATTCAAATAAAATTGATACCCTCTTGAATGCCACGCCGCCCTTCTTGCAGAGTGAACAATGGCAAATTACCAGTTGGAGTAAGTCCTTTCAACTGCAATACTGATTCGCTTTCCTCCCTGCAATAAAATTCCACATGCAAAAAAAAGAAAAGCAGCCTTATTATCCCATTAGTTTTTTCATGCTTATCACACTACCTATAATAATTGTAATTGTTTAATAATTGTTTAGCTATTTTCACCAAAAGTGTTAAAAAAAAAGACAATCATCTTTAAGAAGATTCAAAAGGTTTTTAGTTAAGAGCAGAGACACTATGCCTAGTGGGAGTCAATGAGTTCTGGAATTTTAATAGAGAAAAACTCACATTTTCATTTTTAATAGTTCTAATCGAAATTTAGCAAATCACTCAAAAATATAATTAATAATAATGCTATTTTAAAGTGATAGTCACCGAAATCAGAAATATCTTCATATCACATTATTTTTTTCACTGGACAAAGGGAAGGGGACCAGAGGAAAAAAAAAGATCGGTAAGCTTCACCGAATTAGCATTCCATAGCTCAAAATAGGTTGTAAGTCCCTGCTCTGGACGAAATTTGCAAGTACACAATATATTTAATAGTAATGATAATCATTAATTATACAAATATAGAAGGAAGAATGATGGATTAGACAGCGGTTCAGATTATCTCGATGAAAGTAAAATGTTCGGCTCCCGCCTCGACAGGAAAAAATTTGTCATTAAAAAGCTCCGATGCTGGCGATCAACCTACATTTCTATCGCTAAGCAATTCTGGCAAAAAATTCCAATAATAATAACTCCTAAATGGAACCAGGTTAACCAGAAATAGTGAGCACTAATCATGTTGTTAAATTGTCGTTTTATTTCGCTTTATTGCGACAATCTAGAACCGAAATCGCAATAAAATGAGGTACTACTGTATAGATTTGGTGATCCGATTCCCTTAAAGATAAATAATGGAAGTACAAAAATAATGTGACCTATCTTCAACTTAATCTTATCTTATCTCATGACTACACGTACGAGCAAAAGAATTTCGAAAAGCCAGTAGTCGCTGGAGCTACCCAAATTAGAAAAGATACGTGCTGTTAGAAGGATGAAAGCAGAAGAAAAACGATAACCAGCAGTTAGAATGTCGGTTAGGCTATGACGAACTTGTGCTAAATTTTTATTTAGATTATTATTTAGACAATCTCGAATCAATAGCAAAGGAACCCTATTTTGAACAACAAAAAAATATAATAACCTTAATACAGAGAAAGCACGAGCCATCTTTCCAATTGCTCTTATTTTATGACGTATAACCTCCTTTCGCGCAGATGGCACACCACCTAAAAACTGATTTTTAATGCTAAAAAAATCCTTAAGATGGGTAATTAAACATTTCACACAACATTTGCTAACAGGTCTCGCTTATTTTCAGTAAGATCGTTCTCATAGACCTATATTATTTAAAACAGCTAATTTAACTGCCAATAAGACTCAATTCATTTAACTGCACTTTTACTCTTATTCCTAAGTTTCAAATATACATAACACGTTAAAGCCATTACCAGCGAAAATTGCAATCAAAAAACTAAATAATCCGAAAAAATAAATTGGCGAAGGAAACAAAATAGTAGAATAAACTGACTCACAAAGGTATCAAAATAATTTTAAAAATCTATTCTATTTAAAAAATCGCTGAGAACGATCCCTTGAAACTATGTTTAAAACAGTGCGAGTTCAACCAAAAATTTGGAAAACATCTAAAAAGAAAAATATAGTCGTTTTCTGTGCAGTAGCGGAATCTATTTGGAAGAAATGTTGAAATATAAAATGAAATGAGCCAAATGAAGTGGTGGTTTTCTCCTTTCTTATTATTAGAACTATTGCTGCTTCTGAATGAATGGAACCAAAAATTCAAAAAAAAATCAAAAAATATATGAAAAACTGGTCATTGCCGGCTTTTAGATTCATTCAAATACTCAATGAAATTCATGAGCGACTCAAACTAAGAAACATGAAAAATATCAATAATTTTGGCAGATATTTCTACAAAAAATCTTTAATCTTAAATCTATAAAATTACCAATAAATTCCAAAAAATAAATTCAATTCCATGTAATAAACACAATTCCCCGCAGGAGTAAACCTGTACAAAAATCCGGGTGATACTGGCGAGTCACCAATATTTCTATCGCCAAGGGACTCCCTGGCATATTGCTCAATGTGACAAGCCAGTGCAGCAAGTTTAATCAGAAATGGTGAGGACTCTTTAAAAAAAAACACGATTTCATAGGAAGAAAAAAAATGAATGAAAAAAATTTTAAAATTTTTCAGTAATAAATTTATTTAAAAAGAACAAGAACTGCAATAAAAAATTAGATCAAAATTAAAAGTCTTTAAACTAAGTTATATTTAAATTATATCTTAATTATTCGAAATAAAGGTGGAGATTTTCAAATTAACGATCCGAGAACTTAAAATCAAAATTTTTAAGAACCGAAAGGAAAAGGAGTCTTTGAAACCGAATTAGTCAAAAATCGGGAGCTTTTTGAAATTATTGCATCTAAAATTCAGAAAAAAGTAATTTTTAGGAAAGTCCATATGATACTCGTATAAGTTCCGAACATGTTAATAGTATTTAATAAATAATTTAATAATTAGTGCAAAAGTTGCAAAATTAATTGCTCATTATTAACTTAAACTAGTTTTTTAATAATAATAAAAATATTCTTTGATTTCAAAATCCATATGTTTATTTCTAAAAATTAATAAATCAAATTTTTTTATGGCCAAAATTTAAATAAGAAAAGGAAAGGAGAGGAAAAAAGGAAAAAAGAAAGGAAAAGGATTGGGAAAAGAAAGGGGTAAGGTAACTAACTAAACAATCCAGGCTGCATACACATGCAGAATCGTGCACTTCATTTTCTATATGTTCAATTTCTTGCGATACATGCATGACTTCCTTGCCTAAAAACCTGCATTAAGTCATGCCACTAGATAGCATTGTTAAATAACTCGCACTGATCAAAGCTATATCATTAACTTGGCGCTAATCTGAGCTTTGCATGAACTATTATAAGAATGGTTGAAAGAATTTATCCATAAACAAGAATTTTCATTAGGATGGATGTAAAGCAAAAAATAGATTGAATTTCGTTTCATGCCTATTTTATAAAAACTGCCGTTTAAATTGCAGAATAGGGCCAACAATTTCCATAAAAAATTTTTATAAAAGCTTAGTAAAGCTTTCATTAAGAAATCAAACAGATTTGTTTCAACATATCAATTATTTGTTTACAAAAGCGAAATGAATTAATACGAGCAAAATTCCCTAACGAAGAATCGGATTATATTTTTCATTTCAACCGCCACACCGTAATCCCATTCCAGTATCAAAAAAGATATCACTGATTGACTGCGAAATATTAATCCTCTTTATTTTTTCATCTTTAAATTGTTTATTTTATTTTAATATTATTATTTGTTATTTGTCATTAATTCTTATTATTTATCATTTTAACTGATGTTATTAATATAAGCACATGGCGTTTCGCCTCGCTTGGCTGGTTTTCAATAAATAAATAAATACCCAAAATTTTTGATAAAAGAAAGCAATGAGAATAATTTACGATTAAATTATGGAAAAATTTATGCATAAAAGAAATCTTTCATTTATCATCTGTGAATAATCATTGGAAGAATACGAGTGTTTAAGCAGCCAAGATTTATTGCTTTCCAAAACATCGAAACTGAAATGACCATCGTCCTCGCATAACTAAACATTTACTATTTGTAATAATCGTTACCTAACGTATATTAAACGCGCCACAAAAAAATTCCTTGATATTATTTTCAAGCGGTTCCATCCATTCAAATTAAAGGCATAAAACATGGAAATAGATAGAAAGATGGATTTGCTAACAGCTTATGTACCATCAGTTTGGAATGCACAAGGCAAAAATCAATAAGAGAAAATTTTTTAAGAAAAAAAATAAAAACACCAAAATTAAAGCACATGCTTGATTATGCTCAACCATGAAACACTGACGCAGTAAGGTTAAAAAGCTTAAAGGTCAAACAATGAAATGGTGTGCACATGAGCATAGCAAATTGATATGACCATGTTTAAACTTCGAAATATACAAATACAAAAAAATAAATGAACTTTTTTTTCCTATATTATTCACTATTTTCTATTAAATTTAATAGAAAATGGTTTAAATGCACAAGAAAACAGAAGGGGAAGAAGGAATGAGTAGGAAAAAGAAAGAGAAAGAGGGAAGAAAAGAGGGGCATAATGGAAAGTAATAATAATTAAAAATGAGAAAATTAAAATAGAAAATAATGATGAGGAAATTGGAAAAAACGGTAATTGCTTAAATATGAAATTAAAAAAAAAGAAAAAATGGATGCTTTGCTTTGATATGCAAAAGTAGAAAAAATAAATTGAAATGAGAAAATTTTCGGAAAAAAACCTGGAAAGCGAGAAGCATTAAAAAAAAGAAATCCAAATTACTTACCTACTCCACCTGATAAATATGAAAAGTAAATTCAATTATTTTTTAAAATTTTTTTCAGATTTTTTAATTTCTAAATACAAAATCAAATGAAAAAATTTCACAAAAATAAGAAAAAATTTGAACATTCTAATTTTTAATTAAGTAATAAAACTAATGTAAAACAGTCAACGCAATTTCTTAAAATTTTTCAGCTGAAATATCACTTGAAGTTATCAAGAAATTTTTTGAAAATATAAGAGATTAAACGATAAGCTTATTATTAACTTTCGCATAAAAATATAAAAAAAATATCTCAATAACTGCCAGAAAAACCACTTCTATGTGAAAAAGGAGCAAGCAACACAAAAAAAACAATATTTGGAAATTTCCAGAGATAAAAGTGGAATTCTATGGGATGAAAAAGCGCAAAGAATGTCAAAGAATCTCTGCCAAACGAAAATTAAAAATTGAGTAAATCAATAGCGGAAAAAAAGAAAAGTTGGGGCCAAATAATAGGAAAAAAATAAGATTTAAAATAATAAAAGTATGATTCTCGGGTAATTTAATTCCTAAAAAAAATTATAAAATCAATTAAATTAAAGCTACGAAATTCTCAAAAAAGATTAATTTAGAAAAAATTTTCAAAAATTAATTAATTTAGAAAAATTTAGAAAATTAATATTTCAATTTAATTGAAAAATTTAAATTAAAATTTTAATAAAAAATCTTAAAAGATTTTAAAAATTTGAGTTAATTTTAACCTGGATTAAACCAACAGTTTGCTAAAATGAAAGCTTTTTTTGTACATAGAATATATTTCATGAAAAATTAAACCTTCGAATGTATCGTCTGAATCTGCCATCAGCTCATCATCAGAACATATATTTAAGATATGAACGAGCATCTCAGTTACTGAAATAGATTTATCCTCTTTGTTTTTTACAAAATAAGTAGAATTTGGCTAATTTAAAAAGAATGAGAATCCAGTAGAACTCATTTATAACTTTTTAATGGATTTTAAAAAAACCTTTTTCTCCAACAAATGGCAAAGACCACGTAAAAACATCCATAAAATTAGGCAACCAATATGGATGCGGAGAGCAGTTAAATTGTCTAATATTCATTACATTATTTTCATATTTCAAAATCGCTGCTGAAGATAATAAGGAAATTATAAAGAAACATTCAGTAAACATTCAATTTCAATGAATGAGAATTTTTCCACAAAATCTTAAGTGAAAGAAAAAATAAATTCAAAAATATTTTACAGATTGGTACAATCCTTTTACAACTGCTCCCCTCTAACAAAAACCTACAATTAAAAGAGAAATCTTAACTGATTCATTAATGTAATGGTTGGTGAGTGCTATTTGATCAAAGGAAAGAACTCCGAGTTATAACGCTAAGAGGAAGTTGTTTTAAGGGCGAGAATGTAAAAACGGAAAAATGGAAAAAAATTCACCATTTGAATAAATTTCTTAAATATATCTAAATAGCAAATAGCGAGAAGCATTAAAAAAAAGAAATCCAAATTATCAGAATGCATAATTTATGAATTAGCAAACCTTTATTATTATATACATCTAAATAATTAGGTGCGCTAAAGATTGTTATTAAAGATGGAAAACCAGTTGCTTGCGATTTTCGATACATACGATACCTGCAATATTTTTTATGTTCAAAATTTCAAAAATAAAATTTTTATATATTAATTTTATTTTAAATATTTTAAAAACCAAAGAAATATAATATCTGTGCTGATTATTATAAATAATCTGTGCTGATTATCATACTTAATCAAGGAATTACTGTATTCGTACTTTTACAACCATAAAATTTATCATGATGAACGACTTACCCAGCATCCTGAGCTTCATGGGCACGGATTATTGATAAAAGATTATTATGATGCAGAAAGTCACAACAAGCTGCATAGCTGTAAATCCTTCGATATTTATTTGTCGTTATAGAAACATTTGAATAATTTTAACGTTCTCATTCTATCATTTGTTTAGCAACTGTTAAAGAAGTTAAAGAACTACTGATGATAAAAATATTCAATTTGGTGAAAATTTCGAAAAAAGGCATAGACAAGGCAAAAGGCAAGGCATTTAGAATAAACCCGACAAAGAAAAAAGATATTAAATATTCGATATTACCTGTAAAAATACGAGCATCCACGCACAGAATTGTGCGAAAATTGTTCAGAATTCCTTTCATTACCAAAATCTTCGAGTGGATCAGACCATAGCAAATCACACATTGGCCCAAAGGCTGGAGGCTCCTTGAAACGGTCCAACTTAAAAATTATTTCATTTAAAATATTATTTTAGTGCTTTCACCCAGCGAAAATACATTTCTATGAGAATTTTGTGAAGAAAATAAACATTTCCATTTTAACTTAATTAAAATCCCAAGAATTATTGAAGAATTTTTAAAAAAGAACGGAATAGTTTACTAATTATTTATTTGCTTGAATCGTACTAATATCGAAGAAAAAAATAAATTTTAGAGTTTTATTTTTATATTTATATTTATTTTTACTTTAAAAAATAATTTAATTTATAACAATGAAAGTATAATGAAATAATTTTTTTGAAGTTTTTAACCTTTTTAATATCATCTAAAGTATGAATTTCCGGTGATAATCCGCCATGAACACAAAGAAACTGTTGATTCATAAGCGCTGCAAGAGGTAACGCATCAAAAGATTCCATGCAGCTATCATAAACTTTTTCCGAATATTTAATTTTACCTAAAAGTTCAAATCAAATAATTCTGATAAATTAAATTAAAATATTCATCTTAAAATGAATATTTTTGCTACTGGCCAGCTTGCAAAATTTGAGGAATCCCATTGCTACAATTTATCACAATATCTTACATTCTTGTTTAAAGGTAAAATATTCCGTGAGATGTCGACATTCATGATTACCGCGCAGCAAAAATAGAGTCGTTGGATAAATTATTTTCAAAGCCCATAAATAGAGCACACATTCAATCGAAAAGTATCCTCGATCAACATAATCACCAAGGAAAAGATATTTGGTTGTTGCTGGTGAACCACCAACCTGCAAATTCTTTTTTTCAACTACATAAAGTCATTTCGTTTTATCCTTTTTTTGCCAGCTTATGGGTATGGGTGGATAAGTAATATTGTTGCTTCGATTTCCTTGCAGAGAATCATGGCTTTCTGCTCCTATTCTCTCTTTAAGCTCGTCATGAAAAGTTGGATTCTTGTATTGCGGACACCACATAATTACATCTCTATGAAATTCTCAGAATTCTCAGAAGAAAATCAGTGGGACCAGCGAAATCAGCAATTATAAAGAAAAGAAAAAATTATTCCTTAATAAAAAATAACGTTTTAAAACGATCATTTTTAAATACTTTACTTGAAAATTGTTCAAAATTGAAAGTGAAGAAATATTCGCAAAATTACTTTAAAATTCATCATGAATTTGGTCAAACTAATTTTGTTATAATTTAAAGCGTTAATTTTGTCATTTTTCATTTGGATGAGGCAATCATTCATTTAAAAAACTTCAATTGAACGCAAAAATTATATAAGGTAAAAATTTAGAAAATCATTGAGTGATGATTAAAATAAGTGATAAAACAATTATATACTTCGAATAATTTCATTAAATCATAAAATTGCCCGTGAATATCACCGCAAACGGTTACAGGCGCTTCGACATCTAACATTGTTTTCTCTTGCCGAAAAATTGCAGTACATTCCGTTATTATTCGTAAAGCTACCTAAAATAAGATTCTTCGTGCTGACAAGAAAATTTTATCAATGCTCAATTAATAAATAAATCGAAGTAAACAAATAAACAAATGGTTCACATACATCTTCGTGAACACGTCCTTCCTTAATGAAATGTTCTTTTAGAATATCAGTTTTTGGTTTTCCTGTTCTCCTATCGTAAATATCGTCAACAGTTAGTTTCTCACTTATTGGAAATTGAACAGCTGAAATGTGTAATAAATAATAATGCTTTGAAAATTGTTTAAAGAGTAAATATTTATAAGCCAAACAACACAAAAATTAATTTATAACATGCAATTTTGAGTATTTCGGCTTTGCGATAGGACCAGATAGACCGACCAGACAGTAGCGATTCAGATCACGTTGAGAATTGAGAAGCAAAAGTTCGGCTCCTGTCACCGACAACAATAAACCTGTCATTAAAAAAAATTCAAGTGGTGATCCACTTATGCTTCTATTCCCAACTCCCTACAAAAAATTTTTAATCGTGTAAACGCAGCTATATCCTAAATAGTGAGCCTTAATCTCTATTTGGATCTAATTAACAAAAAAAATTCACTTAATTTTTAGTGATTTTTAAAGGCTTTATTTGAAATATTTATTAACTACTTGTGAGAAATATAAAAAAATTTTGGTCTTTTTTTATTTTTTATTCTTGAGATCATTTTAAAGAGTTTTTCTTGGCACTGACCATTTCTGGATGAAATTGCTGGCTACTAGTGAGAAATTTTTGCCAGGGAGTGCGGAAATCTATAGATAAGCCATAAGGAACTTCTAGATTTTTTAAATGGTAAGTTACCCTTTTTCAAATAAGATAAGATCTAATTCACAACACGATAATATCCGAGCAATAAAGAACTCCTCAAAAAAAATTTATTTTTATTTTTTTAAAATTTGTTAAATTCTTTACTTTAATTGTGCTAAATTCGCTAAAAAAACAATTAAATAAAATAAAAAACTATGAAAATCGAAAATGAAAAATATTGCTATTCGAAGTGAAAATGCATATCAAATGCATACTTACTTGTAAAGCATATTACAAATTCAACTGCAAATAGAAAAGTAGATGTTACATTTTATAATAAGTTAGTTTATTGTCTATTTCTTTGCCAAACTCACAATTCTCGAAAATCTCACCGTTTTATATTAATTCTAATGTCGAATTTTTAAAAAATAGCTACAACTAGAACAGGCAATTCTGTAAATTAGTAATTTCTCTCCTCCCTTTTTACCTTTTAAAAATCATGATTTCTGGTTTGGCTGGCTTCACTGATTATTAAAATGAGATCTTTTCTTAGCTAGGGAGTCAGGGAATCATTCGGAGATAGAAGATGGATCAGTGCCCGAGCTCCATTTTTCATGGTAGTTTTACTTTTAGTAAGGAAGGAATCGAACCTATGATACTTCAAACAAAAGACTATTCGATGACACTACTAGTTTATTTCATCCTACAAACATTACAATCAATCATACACATAAAATTCTATAAATAATGGCTGCAACTAAAATTAGGTAATCTAAGCAATAAAATATATTGAAGAGAAAAAAATGAATAGAAAAAACTGAGTTGCCTAAATCTTTTATGCAATTACAACTTACAACTTTTTTCTAGTTCAAATTTTTCCAATTTTTAAATTTGAAAATTTGAAAATAGTTTCAAATTTTACTAGCTTCAGTATCCACTGGGATAATAGTTACTTGGTGAAAATAGCAAGGTGTGGCTTCTCTCGCTTTCAATGGTGACCCGACCAAAGAGATTTTATTCTCTACGATTTCGGAATATAACATTCTTCCCTTCAATTCTAAGTTAAATAAAGAGGTACTTTTTTAATTGTACTAATGAAAAAATGTTAAAAGATTTCTATTCTGATAAATTAAAATTAAATATTCATTCGCATTATATAAAACAATACAATAGAACGCACCATTTATTTTAACAGCATTTTTCTATTATTCATATAAATTATTTTCTAAATTTAAAAGGCCATCTTCATTGAATTCTTTCTATGGAATTATTAAATTCGTCACTTATTTACAAATTTCATTATATAATTTAAAACTCTTCAAATAAATAAAATATTAATTTCGTATGTTTCATATGAGTGAAGAATTTTTATAGCAAATTTTTTAAAAACAATTAAGTAAAAATATGCAAATGGTTGGTACTTTTGCTAGTTTCCGCCAGCTATTACGGCTTAAAAATTTTCAGTTTGTGATAAAAACGTAGTTGGATTACTAGCACAACCTGGACTTTTTGATGGAAGTTAATAAAGTCTGAGACATCTGAGACAAGAACTGAAATCTGTGAATGTTAGCTTCGCAACACGATAATTATTGCCCACTCAACCATAAACCACGTATAGAAAAGCAAAAAAACCGCTCACTTTTAATAACTCTTTCCGTAGTATTCCGAGCAGTAGAAGTAGCAGCAACATTTGATGAAGCAGAATTCGAATTTGGCGACGAATTTTCGATGTTTGGTGTTGAAGTGGTTGCCATTTAAAAAAGGGTAATTGGGATATCTTCTTTCGAATGGTTATTTTTTAACCGAAAATGAAGTCTATTTAATTGATGAATAAAGGGATTAAAAAGTGAAATGCCTGAGGATAAATTATTTCAAATGTGAAGGAAATCAAAATATGCGATGCACCAATACGAATTTTCTCCAAAGAAAGAGCAAAATGAAGAAATATTTGTCGGAAATGTTTGCCGCAATCTGTTGCAGTCGTATAAGTTGTGGAAAGTTGCTTTATTTAAAACAATGGCAACGAATCGTTGTGGTTGTTCCTAATATTAGTCGACTGACGACTATTTCAGTGTAGTCAGCAAAAATGACAATAACAAAAATTTTTTTCCGCTTTCTTCTTTTTCATGCAATAAACATTTCAATAAATTTCAATAAATGATGATTAATTATGCCTGGAAATTGCATTCTTTTTTGTTTTTTAAATTATTTAATTTAAAAACAGAAACGATAAATAAATAAAGTTTTAGCGGATAAGTACTAATGAATAAAAATTATTAACGATAAAAGTAATTGATAAGATTTCCGCCATCACAATAAACACGGCATTATACGACGACGAATCAAGTAAATTTTCGCTTTTTTCATCCTTAAGTTTAATTAATTAGTATTCCACTGTTGAATCTCATTTTTGCAAATAAAATTAAAAATAAATGCGAAATAGTTGGGATTGGAAGAAGTTGAAATTTTATAATAATTTGATTTCAGTTAATAACTCGTCATTTCAAGAGAGATTGCTGGGTGAAATAACAACATCAAAGCTCCAATTCCATTAAAAAAGAGAGGATTCTTGCTCGCAATTTATCTTTTTTTTAAGAATACTCACCATCGATTAAACTCGTTCCGCTGGCTTAGACAAATATCCCTGTCCCTTGGCGATAGAAATACGAGTCGCCAGGTCATCACTTGGATTTTTGGAAGAGATTTTCTCCTGAGCACCGCCGCTCTCAATTGAGCAACAACCCACTGAGCCTGATCTGATTTGTCTATACACACTTCTATCACCAAATAACTTCATGGCAAAAATTTCCAGCCGTATTAACAGCCAGTTGAATTAGCCTAACCAGAACTGCCAGCCACTTACTTGTTTAACTCTTTTTTTTCCAAAAAATAACAAATCATTCGAAAATTTGAAATGAATATAGACGTTTTATTCAATTTATTTTCAATAATTTTATTGTAAAATAATGCAAATAATTAATATAATATGAAATATTTTGATTTATATCTTATATTATGAATGATACATATTTTTTATTCAATCTATTATGACCTCAGTTCTTCTTCTAATACATTTATTGTTTCTAGTTTGGCTCTACTGACTGGTAAGATGAGATTTCTTCGCGATAGAACGTCATGGAGAAAGAGTGCGTTTGCAATTACAGGCTTGTTCCTTTCAAGAGACAGAAATTAAGTTCATGATGGTTAATTTTAATCGAAGCAGTTAATGGTATACTATACCATTCAACCATTCTCGCTCGTACATGTCTCAATTATCAGATATGGAATTAAGCGAACTATCTTGTAATCTTCCTTAAAAAATGAAAATTGACGAAAGTGAAGAAATCGGAAATTTTTCAAATTGAAAGAGAAATCGATCGAGAAGCTCAACCCGTACTAATGAAATTCTTTAAGATTTCATCAATTTGTTACTGCAAAGAAAACGAAATGAAAAAATTAGTAAAATATTCTGAAACAATGCTTATTTTCATATGGATTCGGTTTAAAAAATTTTTACATTAAAAAATGCAATAAAAGAAAAGAAAAAGAATTTTAAAATTTTTTAAATAAATTTTGTGGCAAAAATTATATAAAAAGAATTCGACATTTATAATAAAAATTATTTATAATAAAATTATATAAATGACAAAACGATTGCTTTCATGAAAAACGAGTTTTTTTCGAGTGAACTTTTTTTTTCTAAGTTTAATTTAATTTAATTTAATTAATTTATTTAATTTGTTTTCGATAAATTCCAATGAATTTCTTTAAATCAAAAACCTTTAGATTTAGTTCAAAAATAAGTATTTTGAAATTTTTTTCAGCTCATAGTGATTTAGGAATTTAGTGATTTATTTAGGAAAAAAATTTAATGCACTGTAGATTTGTTAAATAATCAGAGGAAAATTTCACTTTCTTTATCTTCAATTTGGTATCTCAAGAGAGGAGTTAAGAATAGCATAAGAAAATATTCTGTGGAAGAAAGAACTATGAACTAACACTTCATTACTAGGTTACTAAAAATTGCATTCAATGTATAGAATAGGCTTAAAGCCTCGTTGACTCAACTGGTAAGCATTCAATACTAGGCTTCGCCTAAAGTTGGAAATTTTCATGATTGATGTTTCTTACTTTTCCCTCAGGAATACTTTTTTCCAATCTTTTAGTTCGATCATAATTTGAAAATTATTTGTGATTTATAATCAGATCGTTTCTTCCATTTCAAACTTATTTATTGCATAATTATTATTATCTATTCTTTTACATCATTCATGATTTACGATTCATTTACATATTCATTTTAATCATTTTTCCATTTTAGATAGAAATAGCAGAAAACGAATGAAGGGAGACAAATTTTTCGAAATTCTAAAATGCATCTATAAATTTTACAACATCGCAACAAATATTTATTTACGATTCGCTTAGTTTAGCTTTTCGTCGAAATGTATTTAAAAAAGATAGAAAAGTTTTCAAAATAGTTGCAAATTTTCCTTCAGTAAATTTATAAAAATTATATTAAATATTATGTTAATATTATATTATTGCAAATATTATAAATGTTATAAATTATTATAATATTGTAAATATATAAAATACATAAATAATATTATAAATTTAATGTAATATAAAATTTAAAATAAAATTTCATTACAAATATTATATTATTATTATATTACATTAAATAATCAGATAAACAATCAGAAATTTATTAAAATTTATTAAAATTTAGGTGTTCTAAGGATGAACAAAAAAATCCATTCTTAAAATTTAAAATTTAATTAATTTAAATGAATTTTTTATACTTATAGAAATTTATATAGTGGATTATGTACCACCTTTACAGACAGTTATGGTGTCTGCTATTGGGAAAATAAGACTGGATCATGCGTGAAGATGCGTATAATCAAGAATAATCAAAAAGAACAATCAAAAAAAGAATAATCAAAAATTCTCACATCAGTTCTTTGTTAAGAAAATTTATTGAAAG